ACCCCGGGAGGGTGATTTTTGTGGTTTTCGCTTGTAAGAAACACTTCCCCCCCCCTCTCGACGGTGACGGAGGGCAGGCGGCGGGGGTGGGCGGGTTGGCGGGGTGGCGGGTTGGCTGGGGTTGCGGGGTGGCTGGTTGGGCTGGTTGAGCCGGTTGAGTTGTTTGGGTGGCTGGTTGGTTGGGTTGGCTGGTTGGGCTGGCTAGGGCAATTGGTTTCGACTACTACTACTACTACTACTACTACTACTACTACTACTACTACTACTACTACTACTACTACTACTACTACTACTACTAGTAGTACTACTACTACTACTACGACTACTACTACTACTACTACTACTACTACTACTACTACTACTACTACTACTACTACTACTACTACTACTACTACTACTACTACTACTACTACTACTACTACTACTACTACTACTACTACTACTACTACTACTACTACTACTACTACTACTACTACGGACATATGAGAGAGAAGAATATGCAGGGGAGAAAGAAGGCGAGAGGGAACCATACACCACCACCATACCTGCCCAGGACCATCCAGGACCCAGGCGTGGTGTGTATGCCCTCCTGGCCGAAGCCAGGAGAATCGATACACCATCCTGGGTCCCTGGATGGCCCTGCAAATCCGACGCGAAGGCGCGCAGCGGGGAACTCGTGTAGAGCGCCCAATCGCCGCTGGCGGAAGCGGTGAAGCCGTGCCCATCGAGCCCACTCGAGCCCACCGCTGACACGAGGGCGATGACGATGACGACGACGAAGACGATCGTAGCCGCGACGACTTTCAATCTGGTTTCTCACATCGCGTGGATCGTGAATACGGAAAAATCTGCGCACCTGGAAAATCTCGCGCACTGGAAGAATCTGAGCACCTGGAATCGTGATTTCGCACCGCGGGGCGATTTCCGTGAGTCCCGGGGCCCGGGATAAAAAAACACCCCAGGCGCGTTCGACCTGGAACGCCCGCGCTGGAGCGCAAGGAGGAGGAGGCGACCCAGGAGCAGCAGCAGCACCAGCCTTGTCCCAGGCGTTCGCGGGGGGATTCGCCCAAGAGGCCTGGGGCAGATGGCTACTCAAGATTTTGTAATAAAAGGGAGGGGGTCTGGACCCTCCAAGACAAGCCATTTCAGACCTCCCCCGTGGGAGAACCCTCCAAAACATCGTCCCCAGACCCCCCAGGCCCTCCAAGATAGCCTGGAAGAGACCCCCCCCCGAAATGAGACCCCCCTCCCTTTATTACGAAATCTGGAGTACAACTTCAACAAAAGGGGGCCGACACGTGGTGCCCGAACACAACGGCACCCCGTGGAGGTCGCGAACAGAAGGGTTCCACCGGGGCAGCGCAAAGGCCCCGAAGAAAACCTTGTGCTGCGTTGTGTTGTGTTGTTCCCTCCCCCCCCTCCCCCCGCGGGGTCGCCAGCCCCGCCCATATCAACAACAACAGAATCAGCGGCAACAACAACAAACACAACCACAACAACAATCATAACAACAACCAAAACTACTACTACAACGCCAACAAAGTCGACAACACCACCACCACCAACGACAACAACGAACAGCAATGACAGACACGCATAATATAGGCAACGGAATCCCACTTCACCCACGCACCCATGGATGGTGTAAGACCGTTCGGCCCCTCACTCTGCTAGATGTATAACCATACGTATACATGTATATGTGCAGGCTCTTTCACACGAGCCGGTACAAACATATGACGCCCCTTCATTGCTTGGTATGGCTGCCAGCGTGGATCAAACGCAATATAATATTGCACGCTCGATGTGCAACACACCTAGTGCCAGATACGTGGTGCGAGCTCGGTGGTGAATATATATATATATATATATATATATATATACATGAACATACACATAAGTCAAGCTCTGTGGTGTAAGCTGTGTGGTGTAGTCTCATGTAGGACGACGGTGATGACAACATGCGGGGAAACGAATCAAAACAAGATTTCCAGCCGCTGGGCCGAATTTTGGAAAGGACGACGAACTAACCTCATTGACGACGACGGAGCCAATGAGCAGGCCTGGGGCCAAATTTATTCGACACCTCCAAAGGCGCTGGTGCGTGACGCCGCCCCCCCCTGTCATTTCCGAACCGTACTACGAGCTGCAAGTGATTTGGTGTGATCTCTCTCTCTCTCTCTCTATCTTTCTCTCTCTCTCTCTCTTTCTCTCTCTCCCTCTCTCTATTCTCCGCTTTCTCCCTCCCTCCCTTCGGGCGTATCTCTCTCTCTATATCTCTTCCTCTCTCGTTCTGTATCTAATACGTACACATAGTCATGACCGCGGAAGCTTAGATACGGCACCAAGGACTGCACGACGCCGATCCTTCTCCTCCTTCTTCTCCTCCTCCTCTCTCCCTCTCCTTCTCGTCGTCGAAGGGCCTGGGGAGCCCATGAGCAGCGCGCCCACCACCTTGCCGTCCTCTCTTGTGGGGTCATGGAAGAGGGCGGGGGGGTGTTCGGGGAAGAGGCTCGAAGAGAAGGGGGAGGACGAGGACGGGGAGGCTGCTTGGCGAGGTCGACATGGTGAGGGCATGACACGTAACATGAGGGGGAGGCGGTATATAGGGAACGGGAGCGGCAGGGGAGGAGGTCAGGGCAGGGGGCGGAGCAGGCGGCCAGCTGCCAGCGACTGCCCGCCCTTCCGAGGAGCGAGCGCCCCGGTCCTTGGTCCAGATTGCCCCGACGGACTTCTCGCCCCTGGAGCATGCCCTGCACTCGCCGTCCTCGCTGCCGAAGAAGTTGAAAACGATGGGGGCCTCCGTGTACTCGAACAGCCTGGAATAGAAATACGGCAGGTACTTGTACGGCTCTGGGTTCAAGCCCATGGCCGCCCTAACCGCCTGCGCCGCCGACTTGCGGGCGTGGTCGACGTGCTCGCATCGCGATGTGCCGCCGTACTGCGAGGGGAAGGCGGCCACATCGCCTATCGCGTAGATGCTCTCCTCCGACGTCCGCATCGATCCGTCCACCTTGAAGCCGCCCTTCGCCATTTCCAGCCCCTCGCAACATTCGACGTTCGGCGTCGCGCCGACACCTACAACCGCTAGGGCGCACGGCAGGGTCTCGCCTGACTTCAGCTTCACCCCTGTCACGCCAGACCCTGCATCTCCAAGGAACTCCGTGACGACGTTGCCCTTCAGGATCTTGATGCCGCGGGAGGCGTACTCGCCCTCCAGCCACTCGCCGAGCTCGGAGTTGAAGAGCCGGGGCATGCAGTTCGCCTCGGGGAAGACCATGGTGGTCTTGAGGCCCCAGCCAGAGAGGGCAGCAGCACACTCGAGGCCAATGTAGCCTCCTCCGACGATGACAATCTCACCCGAGCCCGTCTCCTGCAGAGTCTCCAGTGCCTTCACCAGCGCTGCAGCCTCCAGCTCCTCGCGTACATAGAAGACGTTCTTCAGGTCGTCCCCCTTCACCCCGAAGCTGCTCACCTTGAGAGCCCTCGCGCCGGTGGCCAGGATGAGCTTCTGGTAGGTGCACTCTGTGTCGCCGACCTTGACGCGCTTGCTGGACCTGTCCACCCGCTCCGCCTTGCCCTGGATGAGCTCTATGCCCTTCTCCCCGTACCACTCCAGGACCTGCCGCTCGCCGCCCCCGCCCACGCACGTGTGGAAGCCTGGCAGGCGCGCGCGCACCTTGGCCGTCGGCGGGTGCAGGTAGGCCTTTGTCAGCGCGGGCCGCTCGTAGGGCGGCACGGGCTCGGCCGTCACGATGCCGACCCTGCCGGGTCCAGAGACGCCCTGGGCCACGAACTCGCGGCACGCGTAGCCGGCCGCGTTCCCCCCGCCAACCACCAGGTACTCGAACTCCTTGGCCATTCTCTGGAGGCGAGATCTGACCAGCATGCACGGCTAACGGGCCGATCTGCCAAAACTGAACACCTTGAAGGCTCTGCTGACACTGGAGATGGCGATGGTCAGTGCGGCCAGGCGGTGTGTGACGATGGAGAGCAAGCGTGACATGATTTACACCTGCGCGCTGTGCTGCGAAAGCATTTGGCAAAGCATTGTCTATAACTGCGTCTGGCGATATGCGAGTCTGCGGTTCCATCCTGTTCTCCACCCGACAGGTTTGGCCCATTAGTTTTAAAGGCCAATGCTCCCGGCCCGCCTCGCACGCCCTGCGTACAGCGGCCGCCAGGCCCACAGCGTGCCGGTGTTTTCTGGGGATCTCGCCTCGTGTGTTTGACGCATGGCGCCTGCCTGCCGCGGCCGCCAAAAGGTGCCGGGTCTCCCTGGTGCCGGCTCTCGGATGGGTACCCACTGAAAAAAGAAACACATCCGCCACCGCGCCTTCAGCACGTAGTGGGGTGCCGCAAGGCTCGTGCAACCCTGAGACTGGGTCGTCGAAGCCAATCTGGCGCCAATCTGGCAGGCCCCATCTGGCAAACGGGGGCAATCCGGCGAGGGAGCCAGCGCGAATCCGGTCTAGCGAGTAACCCAAATCATCCAGTTTGGCCAGGCCAGATTGGTCCGTGGGGCCCAGTCCAATCTGCCAGTCTGGCCTTCGACTGCCCAATGAGAGGTAGGGCCCCGGTTTCCCAGGCGCGCCCGGGCGCTGCCGGGGGTGCAGCGCTGCCCCCTCTGGGGCGGCGACCCCGCCCCACAGGGCCCCGAAACGGGCGAACAAAAGGGCCCTGAGATGCTCCCGGCAGGGTCCTCCAAGGGCGTCCAAGATGGCCTCAAGAGGGCCTTTCCAAGGCGGGAGCATCTTAGGGCTCTTAGGGCAGCATCTTGGGCGCCTTGGTCGTCCAAGGGCGTCCAGGGGTCTTCCGAGACGGCGTAAGAGCTTTCCAGGGCGCCCAGGATGGCCTCAGGACGGGCCAAGGAGCTTTCGCGCCGCCCTAGGAGAGCCTTCCCAAGAGCCTTCCCGAGATGGCCCTGGGAGGCCAAATCATTGATTGTCCAACGGTTTTTCCATGCGTGTTGGGTTCTCCATTTACCTAGCTCCCGACGATCCAAGACGTCACAAGATGCCCCCAAGACCGCCCCGAGACGGCCACAGAGGCTCCCAAGAGGTTCCCAAAACGGCCCAAGAGGGCCCCAAGAGGGCCCAAGAGGCGCCTAAACAGGTAAACAGGCCCAAGAAACACAGAAGACGGCCTCAAGAGGGGCCCAAAGAGGAGAACACGAACCGAACATCCGAGCCGTCCGCCCCAAGAGGCCCCCAGGAGGCCCCAAGATGCCTCCAAGAGGCCTCAAGAGGCCCCCAGAAGGCCTCCACGAGGTCCCAAGAGGCCCCCAACCCCCTAGAACCCTCAAAACTGCCTCCAGGAGGCCCCCGAGAGGCCTCGATGAGACCCCAACGACCATCCAATTGGCCTCAGACCCACAACCCAGGCACGGTGGAGGGATTGGCCGAAGGCCATTCGATATTTGTTTTTCCTTTCAGAATCTGAAGGGTCACACATGACTGGACCCTATCGCGACAAGACGACCGAGCTTCGCTCCCCCTGGTGCGCGCAGTGCGGATGTCGCGCGGGCCCAGCTCCAAGCTGAGACAAAGCTGAGGCAAGTTACGAGGCCCCGAGACATTCATCAAATGGTAGCCTGATGTTTCCATTGTGCAGGCTGAGAGATCGGTGGTAAACGAGCTGCCTGCGCAACAGGAGGAGAGGGAAAAAAGCACGGGGATCGGTCGCAAACGAGCAGCCTGCCAAGATGAGAACCACAGGCGTCGGTCGCAACCGAGCAGCCTGCGAACAGGAGGAGATGGCAAGACTGCAGGGATCTGTCGCTGCCGAGCTGCCTGCGTAACAGAAGGACCTGGCAAGAACTACACGGATCGGTCGCAGCTGAGCAGCCTGCACAGTAGAGTCAGTAGAAATGGGTGGCAATCCGCCGACCCCCGCTTGCCCGGGGTGCAGAGGCATGTGGGATGATTGGCTGTCCCCCCTTCCCCCCTCTCCCCCTTCCCCAGGGTGTGAAATCCGACTTGGGGGGGGTCCAGGGGGAGGCCTCCGGGCTCCTCAACGCCGCCCCCCCCGGGGCCTCCGGAGGCTCCATTTCTACTCCCCGTGGCCTCCAGGATGCCTAATACTCCATCTAAGCTTGCTCAAGCTGGGCTCCAACACGCCAAGGATGCCTCAGAAATAACCAAGAAAGCCTGAACATGGCGCAAGACGCCTCCAAGACGTCCCCGGGGAGCTCCAGAACCCCAAAAGAGGGCCCCAAGAGGCCCCACTCGCACCCATTCCGATTGAAAGCGTGCATTTTCAGTATTTCCGCCTTTTTGGTGTCAACAGCGTCCAAAGCGGCTCAAGAGGTCCCCAAGATCGCTCCAGGGCGGCCCAAGAGGTCCCGAAAAGGGCCCCCAAAGAGCCTCAAGACTCAAGAGGGGCCCAAGCGGGGGAACCCGCACTTGGATTTCGGACCCTCCGTCCCAAGAGGACCCCCGAGAGCGCCAGCAGGCGCCCAACAGACCCCCAAGAGGCTCCAAGCGGCCCCAAAGATGCCCCAATAGGTCACTCAAACGGCTCTCGAGAGGTAACAGGTCTCACCCGTGGACTCCGCGTCTCCTCTGGGGGGTCGGCGCACTGGGGCAAGCCACTGGAATCCACACAGGGACCGGTCGCAACCGACCTGCCCGTGCAACACGAGGGGATAAGAACAACGAGACGGATCGGTCACAGCAGAGACGCCCTTCACAGAACTGACAGCGCAGAGCGGCGGTGTCAATCCTACCAGCCCTTTGAGGCTTAGGTGGTCGTTCCCCTTCCAACCCCTTCCTCCCCCCTCGGGCAGAGGTTTCCCCCTCCCCCTCCGCCGAGCGCTCGAACGCTTTGCGCCCGCTCTCGGTTTCTGGTGGCCCTCCTGTCTGCCACTGCTCGACTTCTCGGTGGGAGGCCCCGGCTCGTTCAAAAGGCGAGGCCGTGTGCGCCCCGCGACAGGGACAACCCGAGACAGGCATCCATCCGAGGGTCGGCCTGAACTGCAGGGGCCCTGGGACACACAAACAAATACACACAAATGAAAGAATTCCCCATGTTGTCCCATGCTGCCAGGGTTTTTGTCTTCCCCCCAACTTCCAATCGTTTCCCATACTTTCCTGGGAGTGGAGGATGAATTGTGTCTGTGTGATTTGTTCCCCTCCTGATGAACTGTTGAGAGGACGTGCGGACGGCTCCTCGGCCACCCGTCTGCCGCAGGCAAGACGCTTGCTCCGGGGCTGCCCCGGAGCACACCCGGCGAGAAATCGAGGCAGGGACCAAGCGGCCGAGGCAAGCAGAAACTTGGAGCCGACAACCTCCCTCCCATCCAAGCGTCCCCTCGCTCTCGCCCTCTCGTCCTCTAGCCTTTCGGTCCCTTTCGTCCTCTCGTTCTTTCGTCCCTCCTCTCGGTGGCCTCCCTTTCGCCCTGTCGCCAGCCGATGTGCCGCGGGTGCGGCGTACGATCGGAGGTGCCTCGCCGCTCGTGCCGCCGAGCACCACGCCGACGAAGGCGGCGTCCCCAAGGAACTGGGGGCAGACAGCCGGTCGCGGATCCGGGGCCAGGAAGGGCTGGGGACGCGCACGAGGGGCCAAGGGGAGGGGGGCAGGGAGGAGGGAGGAGGGAGGAGGGAGGAGGGAGGAGGGAGGAGGGAGAGCGCAAGGAGCTGCTGGGAGAAGCCCAGACGCACCGCGCCTTGTTTGGAGGGCCGCCTCCCCTGCCCCCTGCCCCCTGCGCGCCGCCAGCAAGGGCCGACAAAATGCGCGCTGGCTGAGATCATCTGAGAATTGCCCTGCGACGTGCCCAACCAATTAGCATCGAGTGGAAAGAGACGTAGGTCAACCCTGGCAGGAACAACGACAGTGCAGGCGCGGCGAGCTGTTGTGCAAGCTGCATGGGATGCGCGCACTTTGCACGACTCACAGGACAACGATCGACAGGACGAGGATTGGGGCACCAGGCTTGAAGAAGAACGGGGGCGGGAACGACGGGCAGGATAATGGCGGCAGTGTGGGGGCGGGGAGCCATCGCGGCAGCAGCAGCATGGAGAAGGAGACAAAGGGAATAGGGTGACGATTAATGTGGTGGGAGGAAGAAGAAAGAGCACCGTTTTTTTGTTCAGTAGCGGGCTAATCTGCGGCGAGTACCCACTATGCTGGCCCCCAAGCAGCCCTCGAAAGTGGTGACAGTTTCGCAGGTCGCAGCCCCAGCGATGGCGAGGTCTACGTAGTCTGAATCTGCGGCGAGTGCCCACTATGCTGGCCCCCCCAGCAGCCCTCGAAAGTGGTGACTGTTTCGCAAATCGCAGCCCCCCAAGGATGGCAAGGTCTAATCTGAAACTGCGGCGAGTGTCCACTATGCTGGATCCTATCAGCAGTCCTCGAACGTGGCGACAGCTTCGCAGATCGCAGCCCCCCAAGGATGGCGAGGTATAATCTGAATCTGCAGCGAACATCCACTATGCTGGCCCCCCAGCAGCCCTCGAAAGTGGCGACTGTTTCGCAGATCGCAGCCCCCCAGCGGTGGCGAGGTCTAATCTGAAACTGCGGCGAGTGCCCACTATGCTGGCCCCCCAGCAGCCCTCGAACGTGGCGACAATTTCGCAGCCCCCCAGCGGTGGCGAGATCTAATCGGAATGTGCGGCGAGTGCCCACTATGCTGGCCCCCCCTTGCAGCCCTCGAACGTGGCGACAGTTTCGCAGATCGCAGTCCCCCAGCGGTGGCGAGGTCTAATCTGAATGTGCGGCGAGTACTCACTATGCTGGCCCCCTAGCAGCCCTCGAACATGGCGACAACTTCGCAGATCGCCGTTCCCCAGCGATGGCGAGGTCTAATCTGAAACTGCGGCGAGTGCCCACTATGCTGGCCTCCCAGCAGCCCTCGAACGTGGCGACAGTTTCACAAATCGCAGCCCCCCAAGGATGGCAAGGTCTAATCTGAAACTGCGGCGAGTGCCCACTATGCTGGCCCCCCAGCAGCCCTCGAAAGTGGCGACTGTTTCGCAGATCGCAGCCCCCCAGCGATGGCGAGGTCTAATCTGAAACTGCGGCCAGTGCCCACTATGCTGGCCCCCCAGCAACCCTCGAACGTGGCGACAGCGCAGCTCCCCAGCGATTGCGAGGTCTGCAAGGGAGGAGGGAAGAGAGGAGGAGAGGGCGGGAGAGGACGGAGACCGCAGTGCTCTATTCAAACGAGAACCCAACGCATGAGGGTTGGGACAAAACGCGCCCATGATCCCTGCTTCTCGGGGGACGGACGCCAGAAAACGGGCTACAGCTCTACTGGGTCTAGGCCTCGGGGCCAGCGGGTGAGTGACGACCAGACGCGACAGAAAAATGTAGCAAAGAGGGTGTTTGAGAGAGAGAGAGAGAGAGCAACACCAAAAAACGAGAGTTGAGGTTGGGAGAGAGAGGGGGAGAGAGAGAGAGAGAGCGAGAGAGATGAGGAACTCAACACAGAGAGAGAGATATACATATATATACATACATACATACATATATATACATATGGACACACACTTAGCCCGGCGAAGGACCTAACCATATGCAACTGCGAATCACGCAACGTATAGCCCCCTCTGCGTAGGCAACGCGCCGTGAGACGGGTGGGGGCACGGGACATGCAGATGCGGGCCGCGATACGCGTGAGAGGTGTGCTGGAAGCTGGGCTGGAGGACGCGTGCGAGCCCTGCCACTGGAGCCTTCGGTGGAGCTCCCTATGGGGCCACGAACCGCGTGAGGGGTGTGCGGGAATCGGCTGGGGTGCGCATGCGAACACTGCCACAGGAGCCTTCGGTGGAACTCCCTATGGGGCCACGAACCGTGTGACGGGTGCAAGAATCGGCTGGGGTGCGCATGCGAACTCTGCCACAAGAACCTTCGGTGGAACGCCCTATGGGGCCAGAAACCGTGTGAGAGGTGTGCGGGATGGGGTGCGCATGCGAACTCTGCCACAGGAGCCTTCGGTGGAACTCCCTATGGGGCCATGAAGCGTGTGAGAGGTGTGCCGAAATTGACATGCGGAGGGCTGAGGCAGCGGCATCGATGGGAGAAGGGAGGAGGGAGCGGGATGATGAAGGCGAGGTGGAGCGCTGCGCTGCGGATCCAGAACGAGAACCCAACACCACAGGATGAGTGGGAAAACGTGAGTCAAAGAAAGGAGAGAGAAAGAGAGAGAGAGAGAGGTATACAGTTCGTAGGGATAAAGAGCGGGAAGAGAGAGAGAGAGAGAGGCAGAGAGACCGTAGGGAGAAAGAGAAAGAGAGAGAGAGAGAGAGAGTGAGAGAGAAAGAAAGAGAAAGAGGTATGGAGAGATACGTCGATAGAGGCCGAGAGAGATGAGGGGGAGAAAGAGAGACAGAGAAAGAGAGTGCGAGGGATACGAAGCGAGAGAGAGGGAGAGAGAAAGAGAGAGATAATAACAAACGACACACATCTACATATATATATATATATATATATATATATATATATAGAGCGAGAGAGAAAACCAAAAAAGAGCGAGAGAGACAGAGACAATCAGAGACTGTAATACATAGAAAAGGAAGAGAGAGTGAGGCCGTTCAACTCCCCAGGATCGACTGGGGCGCGCTCGAGGGCGCAGGAGGCACACGCTTTCATGATGGACTGCCGAGACGGCTCAATCGGCAGAACAGCAACGCTCGACACGAGCTCAAGCTGAGAAAACAACAGAAAAAAAGGCTGCAAGGTCGGTGCCCCAACCCTGGAAAGTTTGGGCGGAGCACCGGGAGACCGAAAACGATACATAAAAGTCCACACCCTGGAATGGGAACAGCCCAGCCCTGGAAAAGGCGCCCGTGGCCCAACCCTGGAAATGGAAGCCCAACCTTGGAACCCCCCCGTCCGAACATTGGAACGCACGACCGATGGAGTAGGAGGAAAATGAGGAGGAGAAGGAGGATGAGGAGAACGCGAAGGAGGAAAAGGAGGAGGAGAAGGAGGAGGAGTAGGATGAAAAGGAGGAGGAGAACGAGGAGGAGGCGGTAAAGGAGGAGGAGAAGGAGGAGGAAAAGGATGAGGAGAAGGAGGAGGAAGAGGACGCCCGCGCCCGACGCGGCGGACGACGCCAACCTCGGCGAAGCCCCGCCGGCGCCGAGAGGCGGGCGCCCCGAGAATTGGAGAGCACGGCGGGAACAGAAAGAGAGGGAGGAAACCGAGGAGAAGAAGCACGAGGATCGGCTACACGCAAGAGTGACCTTTGGTGCGCGGCTTTTGGTGCGCGGCTTTTGGGTGGCCGCGGGGGGACCAAACCTGGGCGCGCAAGCCGCTACTCCCGCTTCGTTCTCAGCCACCTGGGGGCCCATCTGTGCCCGCACCAAAGGTCACTCCGGCGAAAGGTCACTCTTACGTCTAGCCGAGAGGAAGAGGAGGCCCGTTGCCCGGCATTGGACCTGGCGCCAAACGCACACAGATGTCTGCCGATTGCTCGACAGGCTCCGAACGAGTCCGAAGTCACCGAATGAAGTCGGGCACCGTGTGCGCGCCATCTCTTGGCAGACATCGCCCGACCTGAACTGTGATTTCTGTCCGTTCCTGGTCTGGCTCCGAAGAATCCAAAAATCACCAATTTGGGTCGGGCCACCTGTGCACGCCATCTGTTTGCAAACAACGACCGCCATAGAACGGCGATTTCCACCAATTGCCCGGTAGTTTCCGAGCACATCCGGAATCACCAAGGATTTCTGTCGTTCGCCCGATGGACTCAGACCAAAGCCCGAACCACCAAATTAGGGCGAATCGTGTCTCGCTTTGAACGGGAGAAAGAAGGGAAACAGAGAAAGAGAGAGAGAGAACGAACAGCACAAAGAAACGAGAGCGAGGGAGAGAGAGAAAGAGAGGGTGAGGGAGAGAGACAGAGAGACAGAGAGAGAGAGAGAGAGACAGAGGGAGTGCCAGAGTGCCAGAGACAAATCAGAGATAGTGCAAGACAGGAAGAGAGACAGGGAGAGAGGGAGAGAGAGAGAGAGAGAGAGAGAGAACGAAGAGAAACTATATGTATTGACCAAGGGAAAGGATAACAAAAAACACAGGAACCTCAACTAGAGAGAAGGCGCTTGAGAGAAATAGAGAGAGAGAGAGAGAGAGAGAAACGAACAACAAGAACGAACATACGTATACAGAGAACACGAACAACTAATAGCACCAGGGGGACAGACACATACCACATCATATTGAAAGTCGAACATGACACGTGTATCTAAGTTTTTATGTATGAAGAGAGAAGGATCAAGAGACAAAGAGCGAACGAACACTACCACGCACGCGAACGCTGACGCAGCCGGCACAGGCAAACAGGCAGGCAGGCAAAAGGGAGACATGCAACCTAGACTGACAGACAGGCACAGCGAACACGGAGACAGGGGGGAAGAGACATATATATTTATATATATAGATATACTTGTATATATATATATAGAGAGAGAGAGAGAGAGAGAGAGAGACCAAAACACAAGAAAAGGAAAGGGACAAAGAAAACAAAGGGAGAGACCTGAACCTGGTGATCTCCCCAC